GTAATGGATCAAGCTGGAGGCAGTACACAAGTTTTAGAATACTGTATTTTCCACATAATACAGAACAGTTTGGCTCATACTTGCAGTCTGAATTCAGTTTTGATGATGAGAGATTTTGAAATAACAGAAGGTTGTAAACATTTTTTTTCAGTGATCATTTTGAGTGTTATATCAATGTGTTCTTCAGAATTGGCTAAAAGTTTCTTAATTAATGTGGGCAGACAAGATAGGAAGCTGAAGTTCCCAACTTGGGGAAAGGGCATTAAAGCATATTTCCTTTTTTTTACTAACCTCTAGAATTTTTATGAGAGCACTTTGCTTGCTTGTTCTGGCTGCAGTGCAGGAGATGGTCAGCATAACAGGGACATCCTAGAATTGTGCCTCTTGGGAGATCCCCTGAAGAAACCAAGCCTTTCAGTGCAGCAATACACTTGTCACTCTCTAGATGAACACGGGTGATTCATTCAGCAATCCTCTGGTAGTGTGGTTGCTTGCACAGCGTCACTGAAATGTTCTGTGGTTGACCATCACAGGAGAATTGTGAAGGGAAGGTTATCAGAAGTTTGATAGTCTGATGTATTGCACTAAGTAGTTTATTTAGTTGTTGTTTTGCACTGGGTGATTTAAGATTTGCACTGAGTAGTCTTTATATTGCACTGAATAGTTTATGTTATATCAGATGGTTTGTTCACACGGATTTTTACAATAGTCTATACCCCTTTTGAGACAATGAGGTTGCAGCTGACAGGTAGTTTAACAGTAGCAAAGATGGGCTGCTTAGGAGAATCTTACCTTGTAGTACAAAATATAGTTGCAAAACATCATTTTGAAGGCAGTAGCAGAGGTAGAGTGGGCTCTGCATTTGCTAACCAACTTGGACTCCAATTGTTGAGCTTGAAGACTTTGTTAGATACCAGCAACTGTGCTCTCTCCTTGCAATGTGATGTGATACATATTAAAAAAAAAATCATGCCATTGGAATTGGAAGTGTGTCATTAGTGCTCTTGAAGGTGAAAGACACAAGAGAATGGAAATAATGCTTCCTTGTCAGCTAAAATATCTTCAGTGTAGAAGATGTGTGTGGTAGCTTCAGCAGCTGGATCTGCAGTTTTGGCTTCTGTCAGCAGAGGCAGCTGTCCAACTGCTGCTAAGTGGCAGGGAGAATGGAGTCTGAAGATGTCATGGCTGGAACTGAAAAACCACACAGGTTGAAGAAATGACCCAGAAAAATGGAAATGTCCTTCTGCTCATGGGGCCAAGGGCATGCTCAAGTATCTACAAGCTTTTGAGTCAAGGGAGTGAATGGAGTATGGATAGATCTCTGCAGATGGGGGAAGTGGATAGAATTGGAGTGGGAAACAGTAAAGGGAGCAAGAAGTATGGAATAGGGGAGCAGAAGTGTGTCCTGAAAGATGAGTAGAGAGAACTAAGAATATGAAACTTGAAGAAGTCAAGTACAAGATAGTGCACAAACATAAATATTTTTGTTTCACATTGAGCTGCTTGCAAGGTTCTTGAGATTATGAAAATTAAGAAAAGTGTACCTTGTGTCTTGGCTGACAATACTTGTAAAAAAATCATCCCATGAAATTTTTGCATATATCTTGTTCCAGCAGTGCAGTGCTGGAACAATGCTTGCTCTTGCAGGGCGTAGTTGTTTGGCATGCTGTGTCCTTTTTGTCAGTAGTTGTTAGTGATACCACAGCCGTTCCCATGGTGACAGGAAGTCCAATGCCTTAAATTGATTCTTTGGAGTCCTAGATAGGGACCTCCATAATTCCCCCATTAGATTCTCATGACTAGTTCACAGATCCTGTTCTACAGAACCCATATTTCCATGCACAGTTCAGAGATCCTATGACCAAACCCAAGGACATTTGTATTAAGGTTATTTGGCAAGTTACACAAGTAGGGATGTTTTCCTGGTAGTGTCCTGCCCCTAGCTGTCCCCCACAGGGATAGGAAATTACAGAACCACAATGAAAATAACAGTAAGTATGCATGGTTATCCAGGTATGGTTTGAAGAACAGTATTTCTTTTTCTAGGAGAAAACTTAGATGCCTGGAAGTTGTCCACAGAAGGGCAGGGGAAGTGCTGGAAAGTGTGTGCAGAAGGAGAGCTGGAAAAGGATCAAGCTTGCAGAGCAAGAATAGGCTCAATTACTAATCACTGGTTCTATTCATAATCGTTTTTTGGTTGGAACATCTTGATTTCTCTAAAGAGTCTGGTCTTTTTTTATCCAGAACAGATAAAATATTTCTCAGTTGGTTTGGCAACTTTGTTGTGATCTGAGAAGTCAAGGATAGGCTTAATATTGGCTTGTTAAAGAATAGCAAATAACCAACTGTAGTTCAAATGAGCCTAAATTTCTTTTTCCCTATGAACTTTAAAAGCACTGTTTAAATGCCTCAGACAATGGTAAACTGATGAATCACTCTCAACATACAAAGGCTCTTTCTAGACAGCAAGCAAAAGGCTTAATGAATGCAGAGTAAGAAACAAATCCATTGATTTTAATCCCAGAAGGCATTCATCCTTCATTGGAGCTGTTGGGGAAAGAGGAGTGATGCTAGTGAAAGGTTTTTCTGTTGATAGTGGACAGCCTGTGTTGGTAAATGGTCCCACACAGTGCCTCAGAACTTGGAACCTCTTTGTTGCAGGGCTTCTGCAGAACCTCTAAGTTCTGCCTCAATTTACATTTTTTAATTTTTTTTTTTTTAGAATGGTGTTTATGTGACCCCATATAAATTAGAAGCTCTTTCCAAAGGGCTGCTTGAATACTGCACTGATGATACCTACCAGGAGATGGTGAAGCTTAGAGCATTGTGTATCAGAACAGAGAAATATCAAAACTGATTTACAAAACCAACAGGTGGTAGTTCACTTGCTATCCTCTGTAGCTGTGTGGTACAGCTGACTTGTTTTGTGATGTGGAATGAAAGCTAATTTTTTAGCAAGAGCAGTTTTCCATTACTTCAGCTTGTGGCCACACTGACATTTTAACTCTTCAGTTATTGTGATTTCATACCTGTTACCTTTTCAGAGTTGCAGACCACAGAAGACTTTGCATGAGGTAAAGCTCATGCACGTGTGCTTTACTCTAAGTTTCTTAGTTCTTCATGAGGATGGAAGTCTTCAAGACAGATTTTGCAAAGATAATCTAATATGTGGAGAAGAGAGAAACTTTTAAAATTGTATCTTAACAGATGAAAAGGCTCCTGTTTGTGCAAAACACTTGCATGGAAAGGTACCTTAAAATTGTCAGTGCAAGTCTCAGATGAGTTTGTAGTCAGGAAACAGAAGCATAGGAAAACTGTGGCTCCAGAAGGAATTTATTTCTTTCAGACACTGGTTTTTAGACAAAGCTTTTGACTATGGTTTCATATTGCTTGATAAGCTGGAAAGTAACATTAAAGGAAAAACCTTGTGGAAAGCCTTGACATTACCACAAAAGCTAATTTGTATAATTCTTTTTTGTATAAGTAAGTTACTAGGTATAGTATTCCATTTCTCTAATCTGTAGATAGTTACTTCTTGGCAATATATTAATTTAAGCCAGTGATGCCATCCATTTATATATGCTATCCTGAGTTTCAGTATGTAATAGAATTGTGTCTGGGTGAGTTGTACTAACTACCAACTAAGTTTTATATCTCCTTTTTAAAAGCAGATCTGTTGTGCAAATACTGAATTTATTGAAATCAGCTTCACTGTGTGGTTGCTTCTAATCCTGGGATTTTTGAGGACCTTATTTTTCTAGTTTCCTGTAGAAACAAGGCTTGTATGATGCTGTGTGCATGGGCCATGTGTATCACATGCATATCCCGTCAAGTTTTCTTCTGGCCTTCTGCCTAGTGTGGACAATTGTGACAGATAGGGATCTTAAGGAAACAGAGGGGTCCAAAAATGCAGATCCAAATGTTATGAAAATAAACAGCTAATAAAGGAGATGAGTTCTACTCATGAGTTCATGGGGAGAAATGTGCAGTACATGTCTTACTAGAAAATAAAGAGGAGGAAAAGCTTGAGGAGGTTGTTCCTTTGACAAATGGTTGTTCCATTTGCACCTTCATGGGCAGCAGCAAATTGAGGTAACTACAAGTTGAGAAAATGCAGGTTCTGGTGTTCATTATGAGCTATTGTAGGAAATACAAAAGGAAATCTTGGAACAATATGCTAGACAGTAAATAGCAAAAGAAGTGTCCCTACTTCTTAAAATAATTTTGTCAAATTGATAATTTCGGTTTGTGTTTTTGTTTCTGTATTAGTGGATATTGTTATCTCATCTGGTTTCTGTACATGAATGGGAAATGCCTCAAAACTCCAGTAGTACTTTGCATTTCCTTTTTTTTTTCTGTTTTGGTTTAGGTTTTGTTTGGGTTTTTTTTTCATTGTTGTGGGTTGAGTTGGTCTTTGTTTTGGTTTCGTTTTTCTTGATGTTTTCATTTGGTTTGAGGGGGTTCTTTATTATATTTTAATGAGCAAATGAAAAATTGAGCTTCCCTAGTTTAACAAGCGAGTGGAAAAATGGTCTACTCTGGACCACTAGGGAAAGAAGAATTAGCTTCTCAATTATTTTCTTTTGGGAGTTTGGAAAATGATGTAATGACCTTAGTGGAAGAGCTAAGTGGCCAGAAGTAAGCTCCTGGAGTAAGCTCTTAGCATCTGGGAAACATTTAAACCATGTCTTTGTTTGGGTTTTGTGGCTGAAAATAGGAAAACATTGGATTTCTAATACTTATTTTCTTCTGTTTTAAGACAAGAATTAAAAAATCTGAATTGCTCTGGTACATGTAAATAAACTTGATCCATTTCAAACATATTCTGATAACTTTGTCTTGATAGGAACTTTGAAAGAATTCTTAGCTCTTCATCTGAAACTTTAATTTAAGATAGCTTTTCAGCATACTTGCATTTCTATGCTTAAGTTATTTGCAATATATTTTAAAACTTTCCTTATTGATCTGGTTTATAATATCTAATGCTTTTGTTTCAACAGGTAGCACTACTGGGATTAGATGTTTTAGGTGCCTTTGTTGACAGACTGTCAGGACGCTTTAAACCCTATATAGGAACTGGTGAGTGAAATACAACTTTTTTCCTAAGACCAAACAGTAAAAGATATTTCCTCCCCTCTCTCCTAGCAGCTGAAGTGGAACATATTGAAAACTTCTTGAGCTAATTACAATGTACTGGCAGGCATTTTACTGGTGTTGGAATTGAAATAATTGTAGAGTAGCATGTCAGTATTCATTTGTCACTGATTTCTTAGGTGGTGCTTGGGATTTTTTTAATGGTTCAAGGAGTGCCTTTCCAGTAATTAGTTCCATGCTATATGGTTGCTTACCACTCCCTGAGACAGTCCTCTAAAATTTACATTGAAACACAAGTATTATCTTCAAGTTGTGTTAAAGATGGAAGGTTTTATTTGCAGATCACTTTAATCAGAGATTTATGCCTCCTGAAGCCTGTAGTCTCAGAGGATTATGTGGTCCACCTTCTGTTAGATAACTTGACTGTAGCTTTTAGTAAAGTTTTTATGGGATGAAAGAAATAAGTACTAACTCTTATTCCTGTGTGAAATGTTTACTCAAATGAATTTCAGGTTAATGGATCTACATGTGTTGGAGTATGAGACCTTTTTTGTGGGAGGTGCAAGCAAACTACTTGTCAACTCATTTTGCTGCTGGCTTTGAAAAGAGCTAGTGATATTAGGATAATAATGTTGGTTTTATAGCACTGGCTATTTTTGACAGAAGTTTCTAGCGAATGTCCTTATTCAAAATTTGAGTAAGTTACATTATTTTCCCTGATCCCCAGCTATCTCAAATTGTCAAAATTTTACACGTCTAGTTTTGTAATTAAGAGCTTTGAAATAAAATTTCAAAGTTCAGGAATACAAAGTATAATTTATGACAAGCTGCTAACTAAATTAATTGAAAGCTTATTTCAGTATTCTGTGGAGCTACTGCAGTAGTGTGCTACAGAATTTAAATCTGTTTTGTTTTGGAGAGCTTCTCTTTGGCTGGTTAATTTTGTATTGGAGCAGTGTAAGGGAACTGGAGACATACTGTGCTATGCACAGTATTGACTTTTGAATAGTCTCCATTTGTTGCTATAAACACTGTTTTGCTCCAGAGTTTGGCTAAGTTTTGGTTTTTATTTTAAGACACTGTAAAACCTAAAATTACAGTCACATTATTAAAGGAGTGTTGGGAAGCTTATTCAGGTTTTCTCTGTTGTTTTAAGTATGAACTATCTGAGAATAGTTTGAAAATCCTCTTGTGGGTTTGGGCTTTTCTTGTCACAGTAGTTGAGCGAGACCATGTGCAAACGGAATATTTAAATTTCAGTAGTATTTATATTCAAAAGCAGAGGAGAGAGAGAGTACTAGCACTGGGTGACAGTTGAACACAAGTAACATCTGAAGTTATGTATTCTTCAAGTATTTTTCAGTTAAGCTAAGAAGCACTGCTTTCAACTGAAACTGAGCCTCAACACCTTCAGAATCAAGACCTCTAGAGTATTCAAGTTACTGTAGTTCATGATCAACTTCTGTATAAACAAACCTAACAGTTGCTGAAGTCTTAGTCTCAGTAAAGGCAGAAAACAGTATTTTAGGTTACTTTTTAAAAGAGTGATATGATTTCTCCTCAGTTGTTAGCTCTCTTTCTCCAAGTTTCATAACAAGGTGGGAATATCATTCAGTTTTTGTCAGTGAAGCAGTAATATAAAAACATTATTGTAACTGTCTTGGGTTTGTGTAGTCCTGGGCTTATGAGAATAATTAAAAGCACATTGGTGAAGCAGAGAACTGCTTCCTTCAAGAAAACTTAAAGAACCAGGAGTTTCCTAAATCATGTTCTGTTGACTCTGCAGATTTGTCTTCTAATGTAATCTGACTCCAGTAAGTCAGACCAAAGACTTGTATTTGACAGTGATTTGTTTGCAGTTGCCTGAGAAGAAAGTAAGGACAGGAGAAACAGGCAGTGATAACTCCTTCATCAGTAGGAGTTGTCAGCAGTCTTACAGGTTAGGGCCAGCTGAGGCAAATGGTGTCTTCAGTGTCTGCCCTTTCTCTTTGTTTTCCTACAGCTTTTTCTGTTTAGTTTCTGACCCACATTTGGTTTTTGCAGTGTTCTGTAGAAGTACTTAAGTATGCGAAACTTGTTTGGACTGATTGCCTGAAAAACTTGGTGCTTGCTAGATCTTGTGTTAGAGAGGTGAGCTAACATTTCGTACCTGCCTGACTGCCAGTTTCTATTTGTGGATCTCTTCCATGCCTGTCCTCTGCTATCCCTCCCTCTGCCTCAGCTCGAAGACACAATGGAGCTGTTTCTTGTACACAACTGTTTGCCCTTTCAGTGCCTTTCTGTTGCGGTGCATTTGAGTTAAGGAAGCCATATCTATCACACCATACCAGAGAGGTGGCCTATGTTCATAGTGGCACAATTGTATTTGTTTGTATTTGTCATCTATTACTTTTGTAGTTATTGATTATAGATCCCTCTGTTGCATAGCGGCTTGTAGGAGGATAGAATATGAGAAAATAGTGTAGAAAGTAATCTTACCCCTAAGGAGTTGCAGCTGGGCCAGTTATCAAAAATTAGGAGCAGCCTGACTTTAACAGGCCACAGCTGTAACCATTGAGAAGCAGAGTGCTATAAAAGAGTGGGGTGGCCGCTTGAGAAGGGAACTGCAGTCAGTTGGTTACTTTGTGAAGAAGAGAGAGTCAGTGCTCTGAGGAGTTGTCCACGAGAAACACCAAGAAGGTATGGAACTTTTGTGATAAGTAGACAACGGTATGGAACCCCTGCGATAAGATGACAACAGCTACTCCCTGAAAGTTTGCCTAATACATGCATGAGACTGTCTACTACAACACCCTGTTTCCTGTACAGCGATGGTGGATTTGGGGCCCACTCTCCAGGGTAGTGTTTTTGCTCCATGCCTTTATCATTAGGGCAAGACCCCTTCTTGAGAGCTGTGTGGAAGTTCAGCTCTCTAGAGAGGTTTTTTTTCTCTTTTATTTTTTTAGCTTGTGTCCTGGTTTAGGGCAAATTTGTTAAAGAATCTGCAAAGGAGGGCCCCTCCAGAAAGCAAAACCCACACGGCCCCTCCCCCCAACTGGTTGGGGAAAAAATTCCTCGGAGAGAGGTGGAAAGAACCTGTTTATTTGACTGGCCCAGCACCCCCCCAGCACACAAAATAAACAATACCCGATGACACCGCTCTGAGAAAGATGGCAAAATCAGAAAGTCTCTTTCGGGGGTGGTTGCTCTGTTCTCAGTCCCTCCGGCGCTGGGGCAGCTGCTGCAGCCAAACCTTCGGTGTTCCCGGGTCCCGGTCCGGAGCAGGTTCGAGATGGTCACAGAAACAGGAGAGGAGAAACAGTCCAGGAAGCAATGTGGACTGTTTAGCTAGAACTAGCTAATAGGCAGAGGCGAGAGCAGAGCAGAAGCAAGAGCAGAAAAAGAGAGCAAGCAAAAGCAGCAAGCTGAAGCTGGAAGTGAAAAAACAGCCTTATGTACCGCTTGTCTCTGTGTCCTGATAAGAGAAACCCAAACAAAACTTCCACTCTTCAGAGCCGGTCTTAAAGGCACAGAACAGATGAATGGGGATATACAAGCATCATAACGTCACCCCAGGACAGCTTGGTGATGTCCAGTTAAGTTATATGGATATTGTTAATGGGGTATATAATCGTGTGTTTTGGATGTGCAATGCATTCAGGTGATATTAGGAGAAAACAAAAATCATGGAATTAAGCTTGAAAATGTCGGGAAATTTGTAAGCAAAGTAGTTCAGCTAAGTAACAAGTTCTTCGGGTCCCACAGACCCATCTTAGTATTAATTTATATGGTAGGCTTTTACTTTCTCTATTTTGGTCAAATAAATGTAAGTGTATTATTTTTTGAAGGCAAACATAACAGAATTTTTCCAGAGAATTCAGTTATTACTTTGAAATAGTCAAACTATAGTTAACTTCTCAGTTATTGCACTAAGCTGTTGTAGGTACTTGCATTCCCAAAGAATAACAGGGATTGCACCATAACTACAGCAAAGCAGGATAGATGTGAAATACCTAACTGCTTTTTTAAAAATACAATGCAACCTGTTTTCTAGGTAAAGCTTCAATTTTACAGCTGTTTTAACTTATAACATACCTGCAACCCTAAATGTATTTTTCTTTTAATAAACAGTGTTATATTTTGGTGACCCTGAGATATTTTTATTTGTGATTCAGATCTCAGTAAATGATGGAAGTATAATAATACATTATCCAACTGCAATAGGGGAAAACATATTCAACCTTTTCCCACCCCATCCCAATTTAATTTCCTGTTCTGTTTTGATGGGGGTGGATTTCCTTAAGTGCAGAGGACAGCTAATGTCACTGAATATTCACCCCCTTAAACATTACAGGCTTCTGCTATGAAGTGGAAAACATGAATGCTTTACTACAATCTTTTCAACCTACATATATTTACATTTGGGCAAAACCAATACAACAGTGGTAGGGCAGATACCTTCCAGTATTCCAAAGAGCATGTTAGTGATCTTTGCATTGAAGTATAATGCCTGATAAGAGACTTAATTCAGTTTCCTAGGCAACCATCCAACGTTGCACTAAATTTCTTATAAGGTGTTATCCTTTTATGATTAACGACATTGAGTGTGCTCTGCAGCTGGCATCAGTGTTCTGGGAGTCTAGACACACAAATTTGGCATCTTTCTTTTAGTACTTCCACTTAAAATCTTTGAAAATACTTTGGAAGCAATAAATACTAGGGTATGTGTTCTTTCATAAGACTGTGTTTGTATTCTTGGAAAAATAAAGCAGTGTTTGAGTGTTACATCTTTTGGTATTTAAAACTACTGCTTGTTCTGTGATTAAAAGAGATGTTACATAAGAGTACATAATTACTGTATCACAGTCTCTTTTCCCAGGTGATCACATAATTATTACAAGAACTGTATATATCCAAAATAAAAGAGACAATTAGAATTATGGGCATATGTGTCTGGATGATAGGATTTCTGGAAAAAGTGTCTGCTCATACTTTTAGTTTTGTTC